AGTCTAGTACAGTGTTAGCTTTGTGTTAATTGTCAAAGTCGATTTCGGTCTTACAAGTCTTCGAAATAGTCCAAGTCTTGTATTAAGTTGTTGTTTTTAAGTGTTGTGTGGGGATTGCACGTCAGTCTGCTGTCGAGATAAAGTACCAGGGATTTGACTTGAGTGGAAACTGGTATCTCTTTGTTGTTGATGTACAATGGATGGCAAGACTTCTTTTTCAGCGTAAAAGTACACTGAGTGCGTTTTTTCGTTCAGTCTGGTCTTCCATTTTTTACACCAGTCTTCGATAAGCTCAAGGTGTTCCTGGGTGTTGGAGGTACCTTGTACAGGATTCGAGTTAGACGATAGGATTGCGGCGTAGTCCGCGTAGGTGGTGATAATAGTATCAGGATGTATTGGTAGGTCAGCAGTATAAATGATATATAGGATAGGACCAAGGATACTACCTTGCGGTACACCGGCCTGTATCTGTTTGACTTCCGAGATTCATTGCCTCACCAGTTAGGTAGGATTTCAGTAAAAGATAATAATGAAAGGGTAGGAAGCGCTTATGTTTAAAAAGTATGCCTGGATGCCAGACCCTGTCGAAAGCCTGAGTCCTACAAAGGAAAGCTCATGAAATGATAAATGAAGCCCGAGGGTAGTGGCTGCCACAGAGAACAAGGCCCCACGAAGAGCCTCTGGAAAGGTTTGCTACAAACAGGGTAGTCGCTAGTATTTAGTGAGTCAGTACTCAGTAGTTGAGTGGAGTTTAGTCCACATCGGTCAGTTAGTATCGAATCAGTTACAGTTTAGACAATGGTCAGTGTGCTAGCCCTTTGTTACAGTTTTATGGAGTGAGCGAGCTTTGGATGGGGAGTGTCTGGTTTCGGCTCTCCTTTGTAGTTTTGAAATAGTTAATCATCCATCCCTAAGTAGTTAATAAACGTTGTTTTGAAATGTTAACTGTGAAGACCTGGATTACCTTTTTATCCCACTAATGACAGATTCGGAAGAAAATCCTGTCGAATGGTCCACTCTCCGAGATGTCCGTCTGTCTTTCTGCGCCCTTTCAGTCCAAAAATTATATATGTTTTTTAATATATCGAAATACATATATCAATTTCTGAACCCTGAGCAAAGTGGATTAATTTTTTTACTCTAGAAACAAAGTTGATATTTATTGCTTAATTACTTAAAACTTGAAACATATTTTTTTTTCTCGGCTCCTCAAGGCTCATTGGGCAGGAGCGCTTGGCCGTGTCTAAAATTTTTCCATCTAGTACATATATGTAAATTTTTCCGTAAAAGTAACCTTTTGTAACTAGAGTTTATGCACTTCTCCTTTTGTTTCATTTGGATCCATTGTGCGATGGATTCTGTATTTTTTTTGTTATCCCAATCTGTCGAAAGTTATAAGTGAAGACCCAGCTGGTGTCATCGATACACTTGACCATCACTGCTTTGCCTCTCCCTGTTTATTTCCCTGACCATGGCGAAATGCAAAAAACGCGCTTAACAGGCTAAAGCAGAAACGGATCCGAAACGGCCATACTACAAGATTATTATGACGTGATCAACGATACGTTACATTCGCAAACTTTCACTTTCATTTCTAATTTGTCTGTATTTGCGAGAGATGAACAGACGGAAGAGGAATTGACCACTCATAACCCATAAATTATCGTTTTTTCTTAAGATTACAAAATTACATGAATTTTCTTCTAATGGTTTAGGTAATTTTTTTCTTAGGAATGGTTTCTCATTTAAAACTGGTTTGTCAGAAGGACAGCCATAACACATTATCATGATTTGTTGATCCATTAGTGCGGATCAAATAATTACAACTTAACATTGCAGAAAACTTGAATAATTTTATAAATAACATTTGCAAACCCCTTCTCTCATGTATCATCACTTTTCTATTATTTTTGAAAAATTTGTAGTAGCTTATAACTACCTTCAAGTAGATAACTTGCAACAATAAGAAAACAAATATATACGCAATTGAGAAGACGAGTGGAGAAAATACCCAATGGTAATTTTTATCATTTCCAATGATACTAGAATGTTGTCTGTTTAATTAATCTCTTTGTTATTATCACTTTCACTATCATCAACATCACTTCCTAGGAGATCTCGCGGCCATCTTTTCAGGCTGTGCTGATGAATGACAGGTAAAAAATTCCACCCAATTGATTTTTTTCTCGATAAAAGAAAATTCTGCCCTTAATATGTCTCATTTCTTTTACCAATAAATATTTGTTTATGCTATGTTTAAATTGGGAATATCAATTAGAGATAAACACTTAAAAATGCCACTTAGTGCTGAGGATGTTGTGCGTGGTGTGGCACTTATTGAAGATGGACGTTCCATCAGGTATGCGGCTATTGTCATCGTAGCTCCCAACGAAACCCTGCGAGATGACATTAGACTTTTCGAGAAACTGTGGCCTACCATAGCAAGCCAGGTTCTGGATGCCCTAGGGTAATAGAACCACAGGATAACCTTTTTTGCGAAACGGGCACCTTACTGTCGTTCAAGCGATTCATCATTCATCGAGATGTCCAAATTTTTGAACGCACTGCTGGAAGAAGATTAAATCAGTATGGACTGATGGGTTTCACCCCGTAAAAGGACCAGAATTGACCCGAACACAAAGAGTTGTACGGTTAGCATTTGCTCGAGAACCCAGCGTCTTTGTACGATTTACAGATTTCGGTTTACTGTACTTTTTACAGATGAGTTTAGATTTGCTCTACTATCTCCAGATGGGCGTGAAAGAATGTGGAGAAGGCGAAATGAAAGGTAACGAAGCCTGTAATTTTTCCCAGAGCCAACTTTTTCAAAGTATCTCAGTGATGGTGTGAGCAGGAATTTCAACGGATAGTCGCAGAGAGTTGGTTGTTGTTCGTTGAGGGTCTTTGACGGCCACTCGCTACGTGGATGAAATTTTGGAACATCATGCGTTGCCTATCCTCGATGGAATCAGCTACAATCCTATTCTAATGGACGATAATGCCCGTCCACATGTCGCTCGCATAGTACAAACTACAAACGTACCTTCAACAGCATAACGTCAGGGTCTTAGCCTGGCCAGCCCGTTCTCTAGGCTTGAATCCCATCGAACATTTATGGGATAACCTCAAAAGACGAATAAGAGCACGTCCATCACTTCCTAACTCACTCCACGATCTTAAAAGGACTTTTCTTGAAGATTGGGCTAACCTCCAGCAAAGACTGGTAGAAACCATGCCGCGGCGTCTTCGAGATGTGATTAAGCCAAGAGGAGAAAATACGCGATATTCATATGTTAATTAAAAATCCAAAACAAAATGAAAAAAAAAATTATCTGGTCATCTTGTTTTTATTTTTCATTCTCCTTAGCAATTTACTTTTTTTTTTTTTTTTTACTTTTTTAGACAAAAACTTAATTATTAAACGTTAAAAAACGCGAAATTTTGATTAATACATAAAAATATACAGGGTGAATTGCTACTCGTGCTACAAACTTCTCCAGTAGATTCTTCACCCTAAAATGAACAAAAAAGTTCATATTGTCCATGGTCCGATTCTCAACCATTTCAGAGTAATTTCGCTTTTTATCGATTTTGAAAGATATCACGTCCTGGCGTCGGAAAATCGTGATATCTTTTAATCTAAACATTTCTCTGAAAATCTAATAGCACCGTTGAAATTCCCGTTAATTTTTCAATAAGAAGATGACGGTGGCAAAATGTTTGGGCTAATTTTTTGTGTTTTATTTCAGCCAGAACTACAAAAAGAGTGGAAAATTGTGTAAATCGGAAAGTGTATAAAGTAATCCAGAGTTTCTAATTTTAGTCTCAGAAGGCAGCAAATTTGAGGAAAACTACCTGATTTAATAACGCTTCCAACGCACTCGTCATTTTCTTATTTAGTGGTTGTGAGACCAAGATGTTGATGACAAAAAGAGAAAAAATGGTGGTTCAAGGATTGCTAATGTTTGAGAGTGACTTGCTACTCGTGCTACAAACTTCACCAGTAGATTCTTGACCCTAAAATGAACAAAAAAGTTCATATTGACCATGGTCCGATTCTCAACCATTTCAGAGTAATTTCGCTTTTTATCGATTTTGAAAGATATCACGTCCTGGCGTCGGAAAATCGTGATATCTTTTAATCTAAACATTTCTCTTAAAATCTATAAGCACCGTTGAAATCCCCGTTAATTTTTCAATAAGAAGATGAAGGTGGCAAAACGTTTGGGTCTTTCTTCCTTGACCTTCTAGCTGTTTGTAAACTTCTTAAGCATTACATACTAAATGGGCATTAAATTAAATTAAAAAATTTCAATGGAATTATGATTTTGATTCTCTCTAAAAATTAACGGGGATTTCAACGGTGCTTATAGATTTTAAGAGAAATGTTTAGATTAAAAGATATCACGATTTTCCGACGCCAGGACGTGATATCTTTCAAAATCGATAAAAAGCGAAATTACTCTGAAATGGTTGAGAATCGGACCATGGACAATATGAACTTTTTTGTTCATTTTAGGGTGAAGAATCTACTGGAGAAGTTTGTAGCACGAGTAGCAATTCACCCTGTATACAAATCAAGTTATATTACAAATCGGTTGAATTTTTTGCCTGTCAGTATGTTTTTATTTTAAATATTTTTTTAAATATTTGAATGCAATGTTGATCCAATTTAATTTAATTGTTAATTAAACGTAATATTATATTTAATGTAATTCTTGTTTGTACATAATATAATATGTATGTCGCTATTTTTCTACTGTATTCTTTTTATTAATTATTATTACTCTCCGGCTGACGGATATCAAAGTAGTATGCGTTTGTATAAATTTTTTTGCTATGTAAATTCGTAATTATTCTTAACTAAAACATATTATTATACTGTGACAGTTCTATCTTTTAGGGTTTCCTGGTAGATTGCAGGGCTGGGCCGAAGCCAGGCGCAGCCAAGCGGCTGCCGCCCGTCTCATAAGTCAAAGGTGGCCCGCTTCTGGCTTCTGCTTCCGAGTTCTCATGCTGCCTTTGGTCAGTGAGCACGTCAGTTGAGTTCCCGAGGAATGGATCGTAGTTATGGACGGCAGAACACCCATCGCCATCCTCTATCTTTTCGCCATTGTTAAACAAGGTAATTATTTCAGAATTAATTGAAGCCAAGGGAAAGGACAAGAAAGATTATTCGTATAAATTTCAAACCAATCGCATTTTCCTTAAAAGGCATTACAAAATTGAATAAATTCTGGATTTAAACAATTGCAAAGACGACTACTGCAAAGACTCCTTTTAAATCCAATATTTGCATTAAACTCTATCTGAAGCACAATAGGGTGGAGAACGTCATTCAAAATTTGACATTATCTCAATTTAGCTTGAGTGTAATGGAGGATCAAATTGAACGCTTTTAAGATTCCATGATTATCACTATTATATTCATCCATGTATTTCCTAGTCATAATTGATCGTATTAAGTAATTTAATTAATTATACTTTTAATCTCGACCAAGGCCTTAGATTAAAAGTATAATTAGTTATCACTATTGTCTGAATGCAAATAGCACATTTCCACAATGATAATTTTCAGTAATTATAAATTTAGAACTTATTAATTTATATATTTTACAGGCAAAACCTATTAAAATTATACTCTAGTTACAGATACATGTACTTAGGAGAGCTATTGAAAGATTCATTGTAAAACATAAAGAGTTGATCTAAAGAAACAACTGAACTAGAATTACAATATAATAACAAATAATTGAAAGTATGAATTATTAAAAAAAACAGCTGTAAATATATGCAATTAACACAATCGTTAGAATACAAACAAAACATAACTGAAAAAGAAAATTAATATCTATTAATAAATAATTAATAACAACTATTAAAAAGATAATAATATCAATGGTAACTATACAAGATAGAAATTTAGCATAAGTAATACGTATACAATTTTAATTATTAAATGAACAGAACGATAATGAGACATACATAAAATGAAAATGCAAATATTACCTAAACTGATCTAAACGTTTATATCTTGAGTGCAGAAATTAATTAACTTTTAAAAATGCTAATATTATCTTCGTATGAGAGGTGGTAGTGTGGATAAGCTGTGCGCATAAAACTATTGATGGGGCTTACTTTTATGCAATTTGTCTCAAGGGCTCTCCAATGAAGAATATTTTATGTTTCCGGGGGCGGGGAACATTAGAGTTTAATTTGGAAAGTAAATAAGGAGACGCGATCTGATTATTCACAAGTTTATAAAGGAAGATGAGGTCAAGATAAGTTCTTCTCTACTCCAAAGTTACGATAAGAAATCCAAAATATTAAAGTTGTCAGTTTAGTTTATCTGTTTAAAATGAGAAGAGTTGGAAAGAAAAAATTCGGCCGGAATAGATTAAGGAACAATCTTGAAACAATACCGAAACCATTTGTGGTAACAAGCCTTACCAAATTGCACTCATCCTGTTTTCAAATAAATTCGTCGTGATATGGTAGTTTATATTTAAACCTTTATGTTTAGATACAATTCAATTTTATAAAAATATATCTTGGGTGTTCAAATAACGGTTTTTGTTTTTCTTTATAAATGATGACCATTAAAAAATCAGGAAATTTTTACATCCCAAATTTTAAAACTAATTGAGGTCGATTTCTTAATAATAAATGGTGACATAAGACGAACCACTCTCTTTTATCTATATGAATTTAATCTTGAATAAATACTAGTCTAAATTTCTTAGAAAATAATACAATATTTATTTATCCAAATTATTAAAATATTGCCATGTAGGAACATTGGAGCATTTATACTGTTTAAATATGCTAAATACGATCAGTAGTGTGCAATCTTGTCAGTTGTGTGACTATCTCTTCTTTGTCTCTTCAGCAAAATACGTGCATAATTTTGTTCGGCCATAGAGATAAAATATCCAATGTTACGGCAGAATTACAATTAAAATTTCGAGTTCGGTTCTGTAGGATGAATAACCCGTAATTTGGTCGATCATTCTGGAGTTTCGGATTCTCGTCATCTTCACTGTGTCAATTTTGGGTGCAAAAAGTTGATGAACCTGCAAAATCTGAAAGTAAAACAACCTTTAATAATACGTTTCTAGTTTGGTCATTTCCCATCATTTCGGTCTACCTGTCTAACTTTTTCTTTTTGTTTGTTTGTTAAAAACATTTCGGCTTCTCGTCATCTTCAGTGCGTCGGCTGTGCATGGAAGCATTATGCATCATTAAGGAATTAAGGTAGCACCTATAAAATCTAGACTAAAATAGCCTTTAGTGATAAATATTTGTAGTTTGGTCGTTTCCGATCAGTTTGGTCTGCCTGATCTCTCTGTTTTTGTCTGGCCAGATCGTTTGGGTTTCTCGTCATCTTCAGTGAGCGGGTTATGCAAAGGAACAAATTCTGTACCACAAGCAATCTGAATGTAAAACAGTCATTAGTTATAAACATTTTTTTTGGTTTTTGTTATTTCGGTCTTCCTGCTCTCGCTATTTTTGGTCTATCAGCTTCGTTTCGGCTTCTCGTCGTCATCAGTGAGTTGGTTATGCACAGCAACCCAATTGCACATCTAAATATGAAAGTAGAACAGCCTTTTGTAATAAATGTTTGTAGTTTAGACGTTTCCGATCATTTCGATCTGCCTGTTCTCGCTGTTTTAGTCTGTAGCATCGTTTCGGCTTCTCGTTATCTTCAGTGCTTCGGATCTGCAAGGAACGAAATTATGTACTTTCAAAATCAGAAAGTAAAACAATCATTAATAATAAACATTTGTAGTTCGGCGGTTTCCGAACATTTCGGTCTACCTGCCCTATTGTTGTTTAGCTTGTCAGATGCGTTTCAATTTCTCATCATCTTCAATGAGTCAGTTATGTATGGAAATACAATAATTATGTATCTACAAATAATTTAAACCTAAACAGTCATTAGTAATAAAAATTTGTAGTTTGGTGGTTTCCGAGCAAGTATGATTCACGCTGTTTTGCCTCTCCCTGCTTATATCCTTGATGTCGCACGCTGAAAATGGCGAGAAACTCAGTGATATCCCTTAAAACTGATTCACTTCTGACACATTCATGAATTATAAAAGGATATTCGACTAAACAGAAATCACACTCAGTGGAACGATAGATCAAAATAGTTTGCCAACATCGGAAAAGGAATTTAACAATTAGGCAATAGCTTTTCGTATTGTTCAGTGCGTAGCATCAGGGTTATAAGCAGGGAGAGGCTAGCGTACAACCCATTACTTGGGATGATGAAATGCCTACACGCCTCTGTCAGACCAAAATGATGGAAAACGGCCAAAATACGCAAGTAAATTTGTTTACAACTAAGAGGAAATCAAAGCATTTGAAATTTGTATTCCTTTTATATTGGATTTTTCCATTCATTTCTTTTTATTTAATCAGATTCTTATATTTCGTTTAAAAAAAATTCTACGATGTTTAAAGTGTTTTAACCATTTTGGTTTTGAACGTGTGAAATTATTGAAAAGTTTTCATTCCTGTCGTATTCGACAGTATGTCACAACTGGGATTTTCTCATCGGTTTGATGTTAAAACCAGATTTTATATCATCCTTCCGAAGTCGGTTTTCATGTTAAGTCGGAGATGGAAGTTTTCTTGAGTTCGTTTCGCCTTGATTACTTGTCTCCTTGGGCTGGAGTTCAGGAAGTTTGATAAATTTTCGGTTTTAACTTCACCGCTTTCACTTTCATTTACACGACAGTATAAAAGAAAGGATTTTTTTTGCAATAAACTCTGACTCTGTCTATGTGATAAAGCAGCTCACCTGCGCGGGAACGACTGCCTCTTTCTATTATAAACTATTTAGTAAGTCATGCAAATCTGTTATATACTGGGCAGAAAAAATGGTTTTTATGGCTAATTACAAGAATTCTTCTAAAGTTTAGATGAAAAGTCCTAGATGTCTCCATTTTATAATAGTAACCAACCTACTACTAGCCTTCCCAACGGCTCCTTAGATTGCTTGCGGCTTTTGCTTTCCTAGTTGCAAGAATCTAAACCTAAATAGAACGTCACTAAATCACAAAACGTGTTCTGGATCTCTTCTTCTTCCAGGGAGTATCTGGACAGTGTTTCTTCTATGAGTCCAAGCAGAATTCAGGTTCTGTTGCGTTTACCTTCCAGTAATTGCTTAGTAAGTCCCTTCTATGAATCTCTTCATTTGCCTGGGGATGTTGCTCCACCAAGTTTTGGACTTAGTGCTTAGATAGTTCCTCTTTTTTGGATATGTCCACTTTCTAGGCAATGACCTCTATGTACCGAATGCCTAAGGAACCATGCCAGGATCAGGTGATTGGTATCACTGACTTCTGCCAGGGGTTCCATACAATTCCATACGCTTTTTGTCTTTACCTCGCATGAGGCTACGGCTTAAGTGCCGCCTGACCGTCGGAAAAATGCCTAGCATTTCTTGTGGGGGGGGGGGTGTCCTACCATTTATTTCTCTGGCGCAGTGATCGATTGCTGTGATTTCAGACTGAAACATCGTAATGTATTTACCTAAGTTTAAAGTCTTTCCGGATTCATCTTATGGACTCCGGCCTAAATCCGTTCTTGAGCTGTCAGTTTAACAGTAGGAATTGGCCACAAGAGGTATTCCTTTTTGGTATGAGTACCTTGTAGTTCCGAGCCAGAATCGACCTGTTGTCCGTTCATGCACCATTCAGATCTTTTTCTCATAGAAACGTCAAGTTTTCAGAACGATGGCTTACCCCAAAATAACCCTGAGACATCGAAATCTAGTAAGTCTATCAAAGGTTGTCAGGAAACAAATTTAAACATTTTTTGTAGCTGTAGTGACGGTCTATTCGGCGTCGATGTACGACTCTCTCAACTTATGATCAAACAAGTGGTTGATCCTGTTCGACTACGGTGGTTATGAGACTTCTATTTCGCCGAAGGTTGCCAGTCTTGTCCACATGTGTCGTGTATCACATCGTCAGCGCACCTGCTTGGTAGAAAATGAGGTCATCTTCTAATGGCCTATATCCTCAATATTCCCACGAGGTGGAACACTAGTAAGAAAGAATGTGCTCTATCGTGTTCGAGGAGATATGCATAGTCGATCTCAAAGAAAAGGGCCTT